CGACGGAGAAGTTATAGACAAACGCCTCGGCTGCCCGAGCATGACAAACAAATACGGTCGACACCGAATGATACCCCCCTTACTAATTCAGAGAGAAGTTTCTTCTCAATCTCATACACCGTGCCACACCATTGTCATGACAGACCACTGCGCTCCATGGGTATACTTGATTCGGCCCTGGCGTGAGACTTGCTCACCCCAGGCGCCCCTGTCTCGTCTGTATGCTGCAGGACGCTAGAACTAAAAAGATTATGTACAACAGGTCAAGTATATTTCCCACCAAGTCCACAGGCCGCAAGCCACGAGCCCCAGACTGCCAGAGACAGGGCGTGCCTAAGCCTTCTCTTGTGTGACGCGCTGCGACAGAATCGAGACCAGAGACCAGAGCCTTATGAGCAACCCACCACCTCCAACTCTTCCACCTCGTTGGTCTTCCTCTTCACGAACTTCCTCCGCTTCACCGCCCCAAATTCCACCTCCTTCTCACGCGTTACACGGCCCGTGTCGCGCGAGCTTGCAAATTGGCCGTGTTTTGCAGCAAGTTGCCCAAATTCAGACGGTTCGTAAGCGTGAGGCCATCGAGGCCTGCGCCAGGCTGAGCAGGAGCCGCAACAACGGGTGGCGTGACTTCGGCAGCCGGGGGCGTTGATCTCCTGCTGCTGCTGGAAGACTGCTGAGCAGGGGCGCTGGGGGCACTCGGGGCGCCGAGGACCGGCTCCGCGATGGCGCTTGTCTGAGGCGGTGGCAGGACCGGCTCCGTGGGAGGCTGGGGAGGTGGCAGCGGCGATGAGGCGGGCCCTTTCGGAATCTCGTCGACAATTGGCGTCGAGGTGCTTGCGGATGGAAGAGCGGGCGGGGAGACGATAGGTGCTGAAGGGGCGGCGGGAGCTGAAGGAGCGACGGGAGCTGAAGGAGCGGCGGGAGCTGAAGGAATGGCCGGGGCCGAAGGAGCGGCTGGGACCGGAGCTGGAGCAGCAGGCACACCACAAGGCTGCATGACGGTGAGAGTCTGCGTGACGGTGACTGGGGGCGGCGGCGGCGGGGCGGCGGCGGTGACGGTAATGACGTCGGGGGTCATGATGATTGGGCTCGGCGCTTGTCTAGGAAGATGTCAGCAAATCAAGTGCGGGCCATTTCACTCGTGATGCGTACCCTTCCATGCCGGGCGCCTGCCCGGGTGCCTGCCCGGGTGCCTGACCGGGAGGCATCTGTCCAGGGAGCACGCCAGGGGGCATCTCGCCGGGCTGGAGTTGATCGGGAGGCAGTACGCCGGGTGGGAGTTGGCCGGGGGGCAGTTGTCCAGGAGGCAGAGGCTCGCCGGCGGGAGGCGCAGGCGCAGGCGCAGGTGGAGAGGCAGGCGCGGTGACGGTGACGGTCATGGTCTCCATGGCTCCCGGGTTGCCGACGCTGACGGTCATGCGCATCGTCTCGGTGACGGTAACGGGCGCCAGCTGGTTCCCATTGAGAGCGCCGAGGATGCTGCCGATGATGTCGCGCTTGTCAACCTCGTCATGCTGCTGTTTCCGGCCGAATACAGCGGCTCGAGAGGAGGACACGAGAGCGACCACGACGAAGACGGGTTGAAGCCGCATCGTGGGCGCGGGGGTATCGATTAAAGAACTTCAGTCTCTGGCGAAGTGTCGTGGGTCAAACTTGTCGAATAGGTTGTATGGGTGAATAGTGACGCAACAGACCAGCCGTCGGTGATGTTGGATGGGATGGGATCAACCCTAGGAAAGAGCGTGGGCGGAGTGGTCCGGTGTTTGTCGAGGAGTGCAGTTGACTACACTACTGCGACGGCAAGAGATGGCGACGAAGAAGAGGGCGCAGCAGGGTCATAGGGATCATCGGTCGTCTCGTCGAGGTCGAGATGGGACGGCCAAGGCAAGCCGAAGCCGAAGCCCGTAGCAAAGGTTTGTGGGAAAAGGAGCGTGTGGGCGAACCGAAAGGACTGAACGGAAAGACAACAAGACGATCCAAGTTTGTCAAGATTGGGCGGAACAGAAAGTGGAAGACGAGAAGCCGGTCATGGAAAGGAAGCCGTTCGCGGCTAGCGGTAACGTAAACGGGACGAAGAAGAAGAGGAACACGAGATGGGACGACGATAGAGACACACAGGCCTTGAAGGCACGAAGAGCGAATGAGAAGAGTCACGAGTGAGGCGGCAACTGGGGCGCTCAAGACAAGGGGGAGGGGGGCGAAGGGCTCGCGAAGACGTGGTTTTGGCCCTTGTTTCGCAGGGACAGAGTGAGGGCCAGACTGGTACGATATGCCACCACTGGGGACCCAAGGTGGTTCGAGCCCTCGATCTCCGTAGGGTGGGGTTGAACATCGGACGAAGAAGACGGGTTGGGTATGGTGAGCATGCGGCCAGGAGATCGTGAAGTCTCGCGGACGCAAGGTCCAGGCGTCACGGCCAGGGGGTCCGGTTGAGACGCGCCCCTGACGGCTCCTGTCAGAGGTGCATGTGGCGCGACATGGTGTCGAAACGGGGGGGTTCCGAGCACTTGTATGCTGCCAAGACGGACACGGAAATACGCAAAGGGATCCTGAAGGCCAAGGTCTTGTCAAATGAGCGAGCCGAGCATTGGGCAAATTGCTCAACCAGGTGTATCGTGGCTTGCCTTGTCGTGAAGAAGTAATTGTATAATGCTGCAGGAAGTATGCTCATGCACACAAGGTGGCCGCTCCCGCAAAGGATGATTAGGCATTTCCCCAAAGCATGGGGCGCCCATGCCGGCCCTGTCATGCTGACCATGTATGCTGACAAGCCGCTTTGCTGAGGGATGCAAACCCCGGGCCCGCCGTGTGACGACCGGCAGATGCATCGGGTATTTTCTCTTGGGTGGTGGTGGTGGTGGTGGTGGTGGTGGGGGACAGCGGCTGCCGTGACGACGGCCTCCCCTCTTGCGTCGCGTCACTGTCTCCATCGCGAGTTGTCAGCCGGGGCGTATGACGCGTGGTCACCTCGGGAGGCCACGATCCAAACATGACGCCGCGAATGGATGGGGCTCTCGAAACGAAGAAACGAAGGGGATGGCCGGGCTCATCAACAGAACCAATCGACTGGGAGAGACGGCAGCGGCTGCTGATAATGCGGCGTTCAAGAAGCCCCTCCCAAGAGGACGAATGGCACTGCATGGCGCTGCTCATGCTCGCATCGTGGGCTGTTGTCTTATTGAGACGAGACTGATTGAAAACATTCTGCGACACGGCATCGCATTGACTGGATTGGATGGCTTGAAGGTCGATGTTTCCTGTTGTGCGGTGTCTGCGTCAGGTCGGCGAAGCGAGCTTGGACAGTTCGCGGCAGAATTTTCGGATGCTCAACTCATGGCGAGAGGCTATTTTGAAGACTGAGATGGAGTGCGGTGGTCGACGAGATTTCTGATGCCATGCAGCTATGGTGTTGAGGACAGTTAGCAGTTCAGGGCGATGGAAGAGCCATCAGGGAAGAGCCATCAGGGAAGAGCCATCAGGGAAGAGCCATCAGGGAAGAGCCATCAGGGACGAGCCATCAGGAGAATGGTGCACGTCAAGGAAGCAAGCGCGAGGCAGGTAGGTCTGGCCTCCTCTCCTGTCTGGCCTGGTGCCGCCTGCTCAACGTGAAACGTGTGCCTGCCCCCCCTGGCCAGCCCCTAGCCTGTTGCTTCCAGACATGCAGTGAAAGTGATTCACCCCTGGGAGCAGGCAGGGCAGGTCAGGGGTGAATAGTGGTGTATCCCCTGTGGTGCTTGCGCCGTTCCGATCCCAGTGGCCGCTGCTGTGGCTCATGACGAATGGTGCGTGGCGCGCGTTGCCGTGGCTCATCCGGCCCTCGGTGCGCCAAGAAGGCCGACTCGGCCGGCCATCGAAGGCGCCTCTGAATCGAAGGCACCTTTGAATATCGATGACGACATTGAAGATTCTCGATGCCCATCGCTCTCCCACCACCACGTATCGGCCGCTTCGCAGCCTTATCACCATAAGGGTCGGGACCGTCGGGAGCTAGACCAGAGCGTAACGGTTGGCGAGTGCGAATTTTTGTCACCGGAAACGAATCCCTCAAAATGCACGTCACTCCCTTGTCTGGCTGCTCACCCAACAAGTGATCGCCCTCCATCGGTTTCATCCCAAGATACAGCCTACAGCCTGTCCATTTCGAACTCTGCACATCAGTAATAGTGCTCGTTGTTATCATCCCAAGTCGGCGTTGAGGCGTGCAAAGGCGACTCAACAACGCCCGCCGAGGACTCATCGGAGCACAAACTAACCCCCAGAACCGCCCATCATGACCGTCGTTCATGTGCTCGACGACTACTACCTGGCCATCACGGCCCTCATCACCGTCGCCTACCAGCTATTCTTCTTCGCCATCGCCTTCACCTTCAAGTTCGACAAGCTCACCGACTTTGCCGGCGGCACCAACTTTGTCGTCCTCGCCATCACCACCCTGGCCATGAGCGGCCACGCCCACGCGCGCCAGATTGTCGCCTCGCTCTTCATCATGCTCTGGGGCGCCCGCCTCTCGGCCTTTCTCCTGTTCCGCATCCTCAAGACCGGCAAGGACGACCGCTTCGACGACAAGCGCGACAAGTTCTTCCCCTTCCTCGGCTTCTGGGTCTTCCAGATGATCTGGGTCTGGACCTGCTCCCTGCCCGTGACCGTCCTCAACGCCCCCAACGTCACGCGCTACCCGCAGCACGCCTTTGGCACGGGCCGCGACATTGCCGGCGTCGTCCTGTTCGCCATCGGCTTCGTCATGGAGAGCGTCAGCGACATGCAAAAGTTCCGCTTCCGCAGCGCGCATCCGGACCGCGAGGCCATCTGCGACAAGGGCTTCTTCTACTTTACGCGGCACCCCAACTACTTTGGCGAGATCCTCATTCAGTTCTGTACGTATTGGCCTCACCCGGGCAGACTCCCCCCCCCCCCCCTTGGGCAGCGAGAAAGTCTAACGCGACCAGCCATCTTCATGATCGCCGTCTCGGCGGCCGCCGACGGCTACGTGCGCGGCCAGGCCTTCCGCGCCCTCTACGCCACCATCCTCGGCCCCATCCTGCTGACGGCCCTGCTCATGTTCCTGTCGGGCCTGCCGCTGTCGGAGCGCCCCGGCGCCAGAAGCGCTACGAGAAGGCCAGAACTGGGAGGGCTACAGCCGCTACCTGCGGCGCACCAGCATTCTCATCCCCTTCCCGCCGCGGCTGTACGAACCGCTGCCGACGTTCGTCAAGCGCACCGTCTTTCTCGAGTTTCCCATGTATGTGTTTGACCCGGGGAAGCATTCCGACGTCCGGCTCGGCGGCGACCGCGAGGAGGGAGGGGGA